CGTTCGTGGCCGTGACGGCGGCCCTCCTGAGGCATAACTGGTACCCGGCCCGGGTGTTCGTGGGCGACACCTACTGCTACTTCGCTGGCATGACGTTCGCTGTGGTCGGCATTCTCGGCCACTTCTCTAAGACGATGCTCCTGTTCTTCATGCCTCAAGTGTTCAACTTCTTGTACTCCTGTCCCCAGTTGTTCCACTTTGTCGACTGTCCCCGGCATCGGTTGCCAAAGTGAGTGCCACTAACCCCTACCCCACCAGACCCTCGGTGTTTATGTGATAGTAGCCGTTCCCTTGCGTGTGATTAGTGTTTAATTTCAACTGTATTTTTAGATTATTTATTCAAATGTTTTGTTTTAGATATTTCTAAATATTGTTTGTGTTGTTTATTGACGTATAATATGTGCACTCATTGATTGATTTGTCTGTTTTATATGTATGTCTCGATTGGCCGATCAGATACGACCCCAAAACAGACAAAGTGTTTGCGAGTACTTTCCGGTTGAAGAGAAGCGAAACGAAACGGTTGGGCCGCCTGTTCCTCGATATACTCCGGGCGCTGCGTTTAGTGCAATACAAACAGGTGTCCGACGATCCCAGTAATGACACCTACGAGTGCTCGAACCTAACGATCATTAACTTAATTCTAGTCAAATTGGGACCAATGAATGAGATGCACGTGACGTGCGTGCTGTTAGCCCTACAGGTGCTCTCTAGTTGCTTCGGCTTTTTCATACGCTACGGCATCAGTAAAATATTTTATTAGCTATTAATTAGTTATTATATTTCTAATCATTAAAATTGACATTTTTAATTGTAAATTAATTTGTATTTTATGGTATAAAATGAAATTGTGTTATATTTGATAATAAATTGCCAATAATTTTGTATGTAATGTATGCAGAGTTGGAAATTAGTTGCGATTTAATGGGGGTTTAGTTTTTAGGTGTAGTGTTTTGTGTGTAAAGCAAAAAATATGTATTATTCAGTCGTCTATTATTTTTGAATATTTGAAGCAAAAAATATTTTTGGTGTGTTTTTTGCTTTGCTTTATATTTGGCGTCCAAAGTGTCAGTCATTTGAATGCTTTCTCTCCTATTTTTTTGTTTGTGAATACCATTTGAATTGAATTTAGATTTTTTTGGTTTTATTACTTTTTTCGCTCACTTTTTGGTTCAAATCATTTCTCACTATTTTTTGGTCGACTTTTTTTCGGTGACAAAAATTTCTGCACATTTCTGTTGAGACCGTAAAATAACTCCCAAAACAAAATTATCAGCGCTCATGTGTTTGTGTTGTCTTTCCGATAAATCAATAATTTTATGCATTCTCTCTCTCTCTCTCTCTCATCAGTCATTCGTTGACTATTCTCTCTAATGACTACCAATTTTATGCACACAATACATAATCGGAAATTAATATATATTTTCTCAATTAATGTATGTATTGATAACGCTTTTGTCATTAACTTTGCCATTTATTCATCTCTCTCTCTCTCTCACTCACTCACTCGCAGACTTGTATTTCAAACTTTATTATTAAAATTTTTCACTCAAAACATTTACAGGAAAGGCAAGTGATTTTCCAAATCAATTCTGTTGACTATATATTTTAAATATATTAAAAATATTTTTTCGATATTTTGGTGACAATTATTGAAAGACTAGATTTTTGCGGCAAATTCTTTGGTGTTGTGCTGTGAATGGGTTTAATATAATGAATATCGCGATTGAATGCCGAAAATGAATGACATGTGTATTGTGTGCATAAAATTGGTAGTCATTAGAGAGAATAGTCAACGAATGACTGATGAGAGAGAGAGAGAGAGAATGTAAAGTACTTATACTTTAAGTCTGTTAAGAGGTAGTCGTTGTAAAGGAATATATAAATTCATTTTGAAGTTATATTTGAGTTATAAAAATGAATATTAATGAGACTATAATTCTGATGGCATCGCGAAAGTCATAAAAATAATTTTAAATTCTTGCGATGAATTTAGAGACGAAAAATATTTTAAATTTAAATTGATTTTTAGGAAATTCACAAATATTTTTGGAAAACTAATTTATTTAAATTATTTGTACTTTTCAGCCAGAATCTCTCTCTCTCTCTCTCTCTCTCTCTCTCTCTCGCACGCAAACATTCACACAAATATTTTTCCAAATAAATTCTGTGATTATATACTGAAATGGAATGTTTACTAACATATTGAGAGAGAGAGAGCGAGAGAGAGAGAGAGAGAGAGCACAGAATATACAGAATTTTTTGTAGTGTGTATTCGCAGAGCTTTAGAGAATTTGAAGAGCTTTTCATTGAATATATGGTACATATATTTCTATAACACATATGTATGTTATATAATATATAATGCTTTTTAAAGTTAAGTAATCGATCGCCAGATTTATAGTCCAAATCGATTACAATCTGTTTGTTGGCAAAGAATTTTTTTAAGCAAAAATATTTCGCTGTTATTACTGCACCTAAACTTTGGCGGCACTCATGAGAGCTGTTTGAGAGGGAGAGAGAGATTGAATAAATAAAACCTTTTGGTGCTGTTTATCATAATTCAAAACATATACAGAATTTATATATATTTTAATTCAATTCCTTTATGATATATACCTATACATCGGCGGCATTTATATTCCATCTATTTCTCTAAATTGTAAGAATATTCTGTACGATATATAAATTATATATTTGGTATAATATATATATATATATATATATTATGTGGTATATTCTGCGAGTTATATACTAATCATACAATTGAGAGTCTGAAACATATTTTGTAGACTTAATTAAATTCTTTATACATTTCTTTTATAATAAAACGAGTCTATTGTGTATAATATATCATATTAACTCTATCTTTAAAATATGTTGAATACTACCATATTCTGTGTGTATATATAGAATCGGAAATTAATATATATTTTCTCAATTAATGTATGTATTGATAACGCTTTTGTCATTAACTCTGCCATTCATTCATCTGTCTCTCTCATAGCGTTTGTATGAATACCAAAAAATGTATCACAAAAATGCATATTTATTTGCAACCAAAAAGGCTTTAATGAATGCTCGGCTTTTCAATGAGTTTGTTATATCATACCGTGTAATATACACAACGTTTTAGTCTCTCATCTATTTTTAGTGTTTGTTAACAGAAAAATCGATTCAATATATAATATAAGTTATATCACAGATATTGCACTCATATATCTATATATTCCTATGAGTTATAAATAAAAATATTATATGTTTTTTGCTTTTCATTGTATAATATCTTACATTATAGCCGTGTCTGCTATCAATTACATCGACGACATGAGAGAGAGAGAGAGAGAGAGAGAGAGAGAGCTCTTGAAATGATATTAGAAATATTTTCTGAATATATTATATAAGCTATTGTGTATATTAGATTGGATTCTGTTGAGGTACCAGTGCCGGTATATCACAAACAACTAATGCACTTTACTGTATATACATTCTGATATGTATTTTAATATATACTGTACAGTAAGTATATTCCTATATATTTTATATTTTAAATCTCTTTTCAACAGAATTTAAATCTGTTTGCGTCTACAAAACAGATTCATTCTATAAATACATTACAATACTGTACTGTAAGACAATGTATACATGAATTTTCTTAAAATTGCCAATTTTTATAAATAGTGGTTTAGTGCTGATATATTTCACTGTTTTTCTGTGTTTTATATTGACGGACATCGTAACTAATTACTAATTTTGTCATTAAATGTGTGATTTGATTAGATTTTCATTTGAAACGAGTGGTTCAGTACTTATTTGGAAACGAGAGCTCCCATAAGCGATAACTACTAAATGCTAGTCAAGTATTAATATATTATTTCATTTTTATACAAATTTATTTATTTTCCGGAGAGAGAGAGAGAGAGCATATAATACTGTTTAGTTTATCACAGATTAATTTTCATTCATTTCAATAAAAATCAACTTGTTTTAAGCCGTTATTAACAAATTGTTTGAAACTTTGAACATTTAAAAAATAAATATCCGGTTCGTTTGCAACGGGATTAATATGTTTTTACACATAATTTATACATAATTAACTGGTCGCAGTGCGCTTTAGCCACGCAAACAGTTTTGTTAGCGTTTTAATTAAAAATTTATGTTTCTAATCAATAATAGAAATAGCATTTTGTCGGCTATAAGTAATTTCATAATTTTACCAAAATTTATCATCAAATATTAACACCATTTCATACGATACCAGTGCTATGAGAGCCCTTATTTTATACGTTATGTCAGTTTAGAAATTGATTTGCTTTTAAGCTCTGCTAACAAAACATTTATGTGTTATTCTGTTATTATATATTCTGTGTGTTATATACATGTTATGTATAGCACTGTATACACTGTACAGGAAAGGGAGAGAGGATTTCAAGAATACCATTCCCTGCACTGGAATTCAATGATCGATTAAATATGGTTTGAATACCGAATACCAGATCCTTTTTGAAGTGCTCTCTCTCTCTCTCTCTCTCTCGTATGTGTTATAAAATTTCAAACATTTTAACATAATTTGTTATTAAGTGTAAAAATTTCGACGACAAATATAATATTTATGCCAAAAGTTTGAAATGCAATTAAATATAATTAAGCGATAATTTTAATGAACATCACTTTCATTATTTTGGAAAGTATTCGGATTACATAAAAATTACATGATTTTCATTTAGATTTTTATGTTATAGTAATCAATTGTGAGTGCCGTTAAAGGCTTGCAAGTTTTATACGTGCAATTTTATAACATTAAAGCTTTAATTTGAAATAATTATACTTTTATGAGGCATAATAAGCAAATACTTATAATTAGGAATTTAAATACTCTTTTCTCTAAAAATTTTCAATATATTTAAAATGTTTTAAAAATGATTTTTATAATAGTTACTGTATTATAGGACTTTTAATTGAGTGACTTTACACTGTAAGTCTTACAGTATACGGATTTCTATTGATTTGGAATTTATTTCATTTTAATTTAATATGAAATCCAAAATGTTTTGTCAATCAAACTTCATTGAAAGTCTAAATTTTTTAAATAAATATATTTTTATATTTAAGACATGTCGAGTTAAACTAATATATAATATACAAATCACACGTAGATTAATCAAAACTTTGCCATAAAAAATAACTTTTAGAAACATTTCTCGATGGCAATATATTTTTTAGTAAAAATAAAAAGTCTTTTGAATTGTTTAAACAAATATTACAAATACAACAAATAAAAAGTCCACAAAAAACAGTTCAAAAACTTCTATTTACTCTTTCAATTCAAATCTTATAATCAAATAAGAAATGAACAAAAAAATAGGTCTTCTTTTCGATTGTATAGGAATTGAATTAAATTTTGCTTTTTTATTTCATTTCGTATAATGCCATTTGTCTGTTGGATAAATATATTGTATAATTGTGTACATAATAAATATGAAAACTTGCGAATTAAATTTTCATTTTAGCTTTTTGCTTTATTCACAACCTTTTTAATAGCGCAAAGTGTATTGAAGTTTGTATAAGATTTTATTTAAACAAAACTTAATAATAGGTTTATAGTGAATGTATATTGTACAGTATAAATCAAATTCTATTATAAATTCTGTACATACTATTCTAAATGGGAATTAAATTGAAATGACTTTAAAATGTCAAATGTTGACTAAAGTAAAGTATATTTTTCAAAATAGATTATATTTTTGTCAGATATCATACATGGGATGGTATTTGTCTACCACCAGCTATATATAAATTTCCATTATTAGCCATTATTTCCA